TCAGGTATGGTTTTTTAAAAGAAGCTATTTAAAATTTACTATTCAGTGAGATAGGATAGACTTTTAAGAGATTCCTGGCTGTACTCCATTAGGAACTGCTAAAAAACTCTTTGATTAATTTTGCACTTGGTTTGCTTTATTTGATCAAAATTTTGGCTCAGACATGAACACTGTGAAATTCACATCTTCCTTAAGAGTTTCTGTGAAGAAAGCAGCATACTGAGAGGAGGGGTTCAGGGAGGAGAGAAGTGAAAATGAGGTCAACATGCCAAACTTTTGACTTTGCAGCCAGAGCACAGGGTGGGGAAGAGGGCACCATAGATTTCTCGGAACTTGCCTTCTTTGACTGGAAAGGAACGGGGTCTGAAATGGAGACAAGGGAGAAAGTATGGCAATGTTAGGTGAGGGCAAGTCTGTACAGGGAGAGGAGGATCTGTGCATGTAAGAAGTGGAAGTGCTCTGCAGGGTAGCACCAGATCAGAATGAGATAGGGACAGATTTGGACCTATGATGAAGGACTAAAGGCCACAAGATAATACTTCCTCTGTGTGCACCAGGAGGGAACTGGTATCTGTAATGAGCACAGGTAAAACAAAGGTTAGTGTAGTTCCTGGGAGGATCAGCATGAAGAAATGCCAGTCACAGACTGCCTAGATAACAAGCACAGTGCAGCAGGGCTCCTAGAACATAGCTTCACACCCACTTAAGCAACTCTTTTCAGCAAAATGCAGGAGGACTTCATGACAAATGAACATCCAGATACCCAGAATAGAGAAAACAGGAGAACATGGAGTTCACACCCACAGACTCACTTTAAATTATAGCAGTCCTTGCTGCTGCCCTTATCACCACGAGTCTGTCAGCTTTTCTATTACAATGATATCCCGGCACAAACAAACGGATGGTTTTATCATAAGAAAAAAAATGGAAATGAAATGAAAGTTCACACAAGCAGTTTACTGTACCTCATAAGGACCAGTAATCATTGTGATGAAAGTGCCAAGATATTGCTGTATGAGAAGTAGCTATTCAGCAAGTATTCTGGCTATTCCTCAGAACCCTATTTACAATGTCAAAGAACAAAGCACAAGCCTTTCACCACAGCTTACAGAAAAGGGGTATGATTACAGTCAGGCAGCTTGAGGAGGAGAATTTTGTATGACGCCATTGAGAAGGAGCCTGTCAGCTTGTTGGTTTAACTGTGTTGAGGAAAATAGCCAGCTTGTACACAGGTGCACACTTGTATTTGTGTGTGCACCCTGGTATTTTCTTATACCTTATGTACATACATACTTGCATGTGGGCATGAAGAGTGCACACATATATGTAGGCTTGTATACATGTATACAACTGTATATGTGGGTAACAAGTTTCTTTGGAAAAATGTTAGGGGTGTACAAAGTGGGCCCTATTTGATTCAGATTTGACCCAAATTGGGGACAGTGATTTGATTCGTTGATATGAGTCACTGTCCCTGATTCAGTTTGGCTGAATCCAAATCTGAAGATTTGATAGTAATTCGGAGAATCCACGATTTGAACATAAACACAGCTTTAAAAGTTGTTTCTACATACCTCAAGGTACCAGTGTGGCTTGTGAATGCTGAGATGCTGGGGCACATGGAGCATCCTGCAGGAGTGTGTGTGTGGGGGAGGCCTCCACGTGCTTGGTGGCAAACCCAGAAGTGGACCAGAAGTACTTCTGATCCACTTCCGGGTCTGCCGGGGAATGCAATGGTAGGCCTCCCAGCACCCCCCTGACTCAATGATCAGCCACAGGAGGACCCTGAGTGCCCCCCCAGACCCAGGAGCCACCAGTCGCCAAGCGGGAAGGGAGTGCTGGGAAGCCCCCCAGAGCACTCTCCGGCAGACCCAGAAGTGGACCAGAAGTGCTCCGGGTCTGCTGCTGAGTGCACTGGGGAGCACCCTGTCCTTCTGTGGGACACTCCATGCGCCCCAGCATCTCAGCACTCATGAGCCCCTGCTACCTAGAGGTATATAGAAAAAACATTTAAAGCTGTGTCTATGTCCGAATCTCTGAATCTTTCCAAATCGAATTGGAGGGTTCCAATTCGATTCAGAGAGATTAAAGGGTACTCTGATTTGATTCAGATTTGGAGATTCAGCCACCAAATCGGGTCAAATCTCCACTGAATTGAATGAGGGACTGAAGCTTGGCACAGCCCTAGTAAATGTGATATCTTTTAGTAGACTAACTAAACAGTTGGAAAAATTGTTCTTTGCAAGCTTTTGGGTACAAATACCCTTTTTTAGGCATAGGGAGAGTCTGCTGGTGTTTTGTGTTTCCCATGGTGGAATAGAAGCTAATATGCAAAATTCAGGTCTGTGAAAATGCAAAATGCATGGCAGTGAGGATCAGAGGCAATAGGAGACGATAGGTGTGAGACATAGATGCAGAGAGAAAACGGGAAACGTTGCCCTGGTGATAGAATGTAGCTGGTAAAACGTAGAGATGTTACCTGGGGTTACTGGGTGGCAGGTAAGTTATAATGCGCTATAAATCCAATGTCTATATTTAGTCCATGAATTTTTGTATCCAATACATTTATAAAGTGAAGTTTGTTGGCTCACCTACAAAAGGTATTTTGTAAATTCCCTTTGAGGATTAGAACTGAGAGACTGGAGAGAGAGTTTTAGTCTTGTGAGAAATGTGTGCTCACAGGTAATTAGGTATTTTTGGATCTGATGCATTTTTGGTGTGTGTTCATTCTGATATGCAGTTTTTGTTTGGTTTCACCTACATATTTCTCATCACAGCATTTAGTGCACTGGATGAGCTATGTTATATTTCTGTAATCCAGGAATGGTGATGGTTCTGTTGTGGGGTATAGTTATTGAGAGAGTATTTGAGGTGTGTTGGGAGGTTTTACGTTTCTTGTCCTGGCATGGTCTGGATCCATTCGGCTGGTGAGGTTCAGTGATTGTTTAAAGTCTAGGATGGGTCGTTCTGGAAAGATCTCTTTAAGATTTATATGTGGCTATGAACTTGTAGATGTAAAAATAAATGCAAGCAAATATACCAGTGCACACATACATGTGTAAATGTGTGGACAGCACATTTTTGTGATAATGAAGGCATATGGCATGCATATACATAGATTAAGTGTCAGTGAACACATGATGGCCACACAGAAATTCATGAAACTGAATACTTCTGCTAGATATATGTACTAGATATGGGGTGTCCAACCTTTTTGAATGTGGAGCCAGATCATGAACTTTTTATCACCCAGTGGGCTGGCAGGAGCGGGCGCTCGTGTGGCCTGTCCAGTCTGGCCATGGCCTGGGGGCACAGGGGTCAAGGGGTGCCGCCTGACTCCACCATGTCCTCCCTGCCACTGGGCAGCCTTGAGGATGCTCCCACACCTGCACGCCTGGGCTCAGCAGCCAGGGGGACAGGTGGGAACTCTACAGGGGGGGGTGCGGGATGTGCAGGGACACCCCCTTACTCCCTCTCCCCTGGGGCAGCCCGAGCCCGAGCCCAAGCGGCAGGGGTCCTTCCCTTCCCTGGGCCTGTAACTCACCATCCCCAGCATGAAGTCTGCAGGCACGGGGGGATGCAGGGAGGTGGGAGCAGCACCGGCTTCCCGACCCGACAGCCACAGCAGCAGCAGCATCCCTCTGAGCCAGCATCCACGCCCCCTGTGCCCGCCCCCCCACTGCACCATGACCTGCTCTAGCCCATGTGGCCGGCAGCAACTGGCACAGGGCGGGGCCGGCATGCAAATGAGGAAGGGAGGAGTGGGGATAGGAATGGAAACCCTGCAATGTGGGAGAGGGGAGGAGCTGGCATGCAAATGAGGAAGGGAGGGGTGGGGTGAGGAAGGGACACCGTGAAATGAAGGGGTAGGGGAGGAGCCACACCGTGTTGGCAACGTCAAGCTGACGCAGTGCGTGTGGGAACCTTGTCCCTTCCCCAGCCCTTCAGCAGCCATTAGGAATCTGCTGAGGGGCTGGGGGAGGGACAAGGGGTGGGAACAAAAGTAAACAGTGTTTACTTTTGTTTCCTGTCGCAGCACCGCGGACCTCAGAAAATGGCTTGGTGGGCTGCATGGTGGCCCGCAGGCCATATGTTGGACAAGCCTGTACTAGATGCTTCTAGGGCCCTGCTGATGCTGGACTACAGGGTGATGTGATTTTACAGATGGCTAATTGTGAAAAAATGGGCTTTTGTTTTCTCTGCTCAGAATCAATGTACAAATCCAAGAAAGCAAGCACGGCTAGTATTGTTCCAGATCGTGGACTTCTGGCTAAGGGCAAAGAGTACCAGTACTAGCCAAGACCAGGAATCATTAGCCAAACTGGGGAGCTTCATCTAAAAATCAAAGTGGTTTTTTTTCCCAGTTATTAACTTCTGGCAGCTACACAGGTAGGTCAATGTAACTTGTTCAATTTTGTAAAGGAAGCAAAGGGATCACTCATATGATCCCTTTGACCTCATATGAGCAAAACTTTAGCCAAGAGTAGATTGTGCATGAACCAAGTTAGAAAACTGGTTTTTGTCATAAAAATGCTGACATACCACTAGCTCTAGCAGCTCAAATAATGTTAATATAATCAGTCACCTATGGCTACAAGGGAGTGAGGCATCCCAATGCAAGACATTGTGAGGAAAGTAAGGAACATTTTTTTTTTGCTGGAATATTTCATGTGAATAAGAAAAGTATGCAGACCTATTGAGAAGTAAGATGGAAGATGGTTGCCCCATCATTCTGATAGATATTCAAGATTATCACATATAGCATGCCTTAAAGACACATGACTATTACAAATACATAAGGTTTGGTTAGAAAGAAAGCGAACAAATTCTCAGTTTACACTGCACTATTCAAAGAAAAGCTCAGAGTGGCCTTTCTTCCAGATTGTGCTGGAATATTCCAAGTGAAGTGAGATTAGGCTGTGGGAACCTTACATTGCACTATTTCCAGCAAAGTGAGAGGGGACTCCTACTGCTTTGTTAAAGATTTTTTGCCATCTTACCCAGCTTCAGCAGGGACCGCACACACCACGAGTAGAATTCCAAGGCTGACCATACAGAGGGGAACAGTTCCTGGGAGTGTCAGTGCCATGTCGTCAAGATGCAGAAGTTGGGAGCAGGAGAGTCTCTGAGACCTGACAGGATAGGAAGGGGTTGGAACAGACAGGGAAAAAAAGAAAGAGAAGAGGATTTACTTACTAAGATGAAAGCTTGTCAAAGTTTTCCCCTCCTCTGTATACAGGTATTCAGAAGCAGACTATGGGATTAAGCATACAATGTGGTTACAAGTTCTTTGTTTTGTTTTTTTCCCGGAAAACCCTATATCAGTTTATGGCTATGAAGGACACTGCCAGCCATGCTACTGTTGGTAGCAGAATTATTGGACATGACAAAAGCCAGCCCCTTTGCTGAGCAACCAGTGAGATTTTGGGCCATGAGGAGAGGCAGTGCAGCAGTGTGGAAGGCAACATGTTGTAGACTATGAAAGAGAGTCAGCAGGGGATCCCTCCCTGATCTAATACCACCTATCTTGTAGCTTTGGGGAAGTCACTCAGACTAATATTTCAAGTGCCTAAAATTTGTCATCCGAGTACAGAGTGGTAAGCCCCTGCACTAGTGCCCACTTAGATAAGCACCTCACTCAATAATCCAGACTCCACATCACTCTGACCCCATGTAAGTGTAGGGATGTGATTCAGTATTATTGTATGACAACCCCGGGAGTTATCCCTGAGGTACATAGGTGCTTCCCCAATCTGCAGCCATTCCCATTTGCTTTTGAACAGCACAGTGAGGAGCAGGTACCAAGTAAGTTCTGAAGCAAGGTGGGGAGAAGTCTATGCCGGAAAGGCAGCCAGTGTATACTTCTCCATTCTCCCCAGAGAGTCTTTGCACATCCGTGACCTTGGGAGTAGTCCGCTGCTTTCCACAGACATTGAAATGTGCTCTTTGGGCGTATCCAGACAAGCATCTCGAACCCTTTTCAGATGCTGCAAGAGGCACATGTGGGAACAAAAAAAATGTTCCCTGCACTGCAAATTTGTAGGGGTCAAATAATACCCTGGGTCAGGTCACAGTCCTGGACCATGCCCTGAGGCAACCAGAGGCTTGATCCTCCGCAGAGACACTGGTAGCCAGCCAGAGTGTTTCTGTGGTTGGCCCTTTCCCCCATGCTGAAGCATGCTGTCTGCTGGGGAGGCATTGGTGCAAGCTCCAGGGACCTGGAGCGCTTCTTGTTAGATAAGTAGGGGGTTGGGGGGCTGAAGGAGGGGGGAGGGGATCTTGGGGGAGGCCCTGCCTGGCCCCAGCCCCCATTCCTGTCCCCAACTCTTCATTCCTTTCCCCACTCCCCGTTCATTCCCTCCATCTCCCTTTCATTCCCCCAGCTCCCCATTGATTCCCCCATTCGTTCCCCCCACTCCCC